CAGGCGCGAAATTCCAGAAGGTAAATTTGGCTCTGGCACCCTTATTTTAGATTTCCGACCCCAAGTGTCCTATATCAAAATACTCCCCTACGCACCACCTACACGCTCCCAAACGGTGGCAGGTACTATAGGAATCACCCTGTATAAACAAAATTCTATATTCTATACCTATATATTGTTATAGGGCCATCCCTAATACCATCACACATCAACTAAACTGTACAGTATTTTTTAAAAAGCAAGATTTTATGAATCTTCAATTAATTAAATAGGTGTATAATACCTTTATCCGCAACTACTTCATAGGTACTGTCCTCCGGGATCATTAACCACTTCACAATGTTTTTGACTTTTTGTAGTTAAATTTAATTGCGTTCATATATTACTTTCACTAGCACAATAAAATTAATTCAAAATTGAAATCGTATACAGATAACTGCTTCTAAGGTGACTATACTGCACTTGCTGCCTTATTTGAATAGGTACAATGGCGTCATACAAGAGATGTGAACAACCGACTGAAGTAATAATGGTGACTGACTCAAGTCGCACAATATTGAGTCTATTTGCACAATCTGGTGTTAATCTAACGAAGAATCCGTGTATTCTTTACACTGACGAAAAAAATTACACCACATTGAGTACTTTTACAAGTTACGGTGTAAGTCTTTAGAAATTCTACACAATTGCGTTTTACCAATCGTCTCATAGTAAGAAGGTGTAAATCTTACCAGATTTCGTGTAGACGAAAACAACATACACTTTGCATTTTCACCTTTACCTACACCGAAAAACTTTTAACAGTGTATATGCAAAATTACATGAGGCCGCAAGCAATACAAGTTATTCCGTTTAACATTTACACTTCATATAAAACTCAGAAAATTAACCACCACCGTTAGATTGATACTAAATTTTGGTCACATGGCGTCTTTCTAAGAAGACTAACTTTCCATTTCACTGCCGTGGTTCAACAAGAGATGAAAAGAATTTACCTAGGAATTTACCTTATTTTCAAATTGTGAGGATTATTTACTCATCTGTCACTTATATGCCCGGTTTCACAAACGATGATTAACGTTAAGTATTAATATTATGGGAAGCAAAGGAGCGTATAATCAAAGGTCATTCATTCATTCTAATATTTTTAATCATTGATTAACCTTAATCATCATTCGTGAAACCGAGCAATAGTGACTGATGAAGGAAAATCATTTGTTTTAGTGGGTTTAATTCACATCGTGTAATTTCAATTTTTATGGTGGTGACCACCCCTCTTACTGGCATAAAATGAAAGAATCGTTTATAGTAAATATGGTTACTCTTTCTGCTATCTCTGTGAACTTAAGCAAAAATTCAATTGACAATTAATGTGGTCTTAATTGGCAGGGTGTGATACCGGTTCTCCCCTCTAAATTTAATTATTGGACGATATCTGAAATTTTTAAGGCAATCTCACAGATATGTAACTTGGATAGCTGCCTATTGAGCATATATTATGCAAATAAAAAATTACAGCTAATAAAGACAAAGAAGGAGCCGATTTGAACGCGTTCGATAGAATTCCCACTTTATTGCATCCGATCTGGAATGGTTCCCTTTAATAATACGAACATCCACAATATTATGGTATTACCGCTCTTCATTACCTCCCATTTGCATCAATTCCACGTGCGCTGTCGGTTTACCAAACTTTATCGTTCGCGCTTTAGAATAGCTTAAAGATCCTTTAGAAATTAATGAACTTTCGACGGTTTCCCAGTTGCGCAAGGACCCAAAACTTTTTATACAGTAGCAAAAATGTGTCATATTTGATGTTCACATTTCCATAGCGCAAACATCCCATAGACATCGTCAATCTACATCCTTGTTGATTGTTTTAGATTAGGCCTCGGATTAGGCATTTTTTAAAACCACTCGTTACAGATTGACATTAAACATTAACTTTTAATTATATCAAAGGCAGTAACGATACACCAATCAATAGTCACTTAACGAACCAGTGAAATGTATCCATTTGGGGTTGGCCGGCGCTTCATTAAACACGAATGTTCAATGTCAATGTCGATGGACGTATAGCAGTGACATTATTGTAACAGAGGATTAAAGTATAATGACGGAGAATATGTAATTTTACCCACTCACCAATGTACCTATTATGTCGATACTGTGAAAAGAAAAATACAGAGTTTTACGAAGTGGGTGCGCCAAGGGCCAGGGGGTGCGCAATAACTACTTGGAGTAGTTCAAAATAAATAAATGAAAGAATTGCAGACTGGAAAATTATAGTGACAGAAGATGCAAAGCGACACAAATTTGATGAGGCAGGGTGCGACTCAACATATAAGAAAGAGCCGTTGAGGAAACTGAGCGAACCAGAGGGGATATTGAAAATTTGCTGCCGTCATATTCCGTTGCATTTTTTCAGAGCCGTCCTTAGCAAATGCGAGGCCTGGAGCGAAACATTTTTGCGGGGCCTTTTTTAACAGTGATTGTCGAGGGGGGTATAGAATGCCCCTTGGGGAGGGGGGCCCGGGGGTCCTCCTCCGGAATTTTTTGCAAAATTATACATGCAAAGTCTTCGTTTTAAGCACTTTGAATGACTTGTCACGAAGCGACAGGGAGAGGAGCTTGCAAGAATGACTCTCTCACTGGCCAGCGCGAAGCTCGGGCTCCGTCACTTGTCACTCCTCCACCTCTATCAAACGATGTTTTGCATTTGCATTCTTTTATTCGCGACTAATGACGATCTCGTACGAATGAGGTTCGTAGGTTTTTTAATTAATCAATAATTATCTTTGCTTTGTAGCTCAGTGCTAGAGCGTTGGGCTACAAAACCGGAAGTCGGGTGTTCGAACCTGGGCTGATGTAGGAATTTTTCATCTGTGGCAGAAATGGGAATTTCCTTAGATCAGTTTCGAGAATCCTACCGGCTACTCCGAATTAGGCTTTCCTGCAGTTTTCCTAATTCGTAAGGTAAATACCGGAGTATTATAGAACAACTAAAACCTTCTGCAGGGGCACCTCTAAAAAAGCTATTATGCAGATCACTTTGTAATTGGGCGTAAGCCTGTTGAGGGCCTAGAACAAGAGGGACAATAAACAAATATATTGCGCCGGTAATCAGACCGATATTTTATATAATTATTATATTATATATTTATACTTATATTAAAACATTATTAGATTATTTTCATTCGAGCAAAATTTTTATTTATTTTTTGGCGAGAGTAAGCTGCGAGGCCTTTTTCAGCGCGAGGCCTGGAGCGACCGCTCCACTCGCTCCACCCTAAGGCCGGTCGTACATTGGAAGCGACCAGACGGTCTGAGAGGTCCTGGTCCGGGTCTGAAGAAAACAAACACATGACGCACCGCCGCCCCTCCTACACTGCAGCCAATACACGTTCCGGGGAGGAGAGTCGGGTCTGAACTGGTCTGACCACAATCAAACAGGTTTGTTTTTTCTTCCAGTTGCATGGAAGCTTTGATGAAACCTAGCTGCATTGCAGGAGCGCCGCGTCTGGACTGTACTCCTACATTGGAGTCTGGCCACCAGACCCGACCCGACCAGGCCAGACCGTCTGGTCCGGAGAAATTCCGCTTCCAATGTGGGACCGGCCTAAGGACGGCTCTGCATTTTTTAGTTGCCGTTATTTTTAAACTGGGCTGGATTTCAACCCAATTTACTCTACTAATCCAACGCTTTATACCTATACATAATTATACAAACTTCCCATGCCAATGTCGTGATTCGAAATAGGAACCTTGTTTGCAGTAGTCAAGTTTTCCGGAAACTGATATACCTACAGGTGCACAAGGCCAGACTCTCAAAAGCTGCTGTAGTTATTTTTTGTTCCCGAATCTCAAAAAAACATTAAGGGAGACAACATTTAGGGACAATGACGAACTTATAGCAGCCGGTGAGGGCCATTTTGAGGAAAAACCAAACATATATTTTTTTCTCCAACCACCTGAATAAGACGCTATTTTGTGACAGTGTTCGGTACCTACGTAACATTGACGTTTTGCGGATTAATCGCTTTCACCATGGCAACTGTACAAAAAGTGGATACTTTTGGTCCTAGTACCAAAAAGAAATTGACCTTGAAAGTTGGCCAATTAAAAAATTACAATCACGGAGATATGTCACATTGACATCGTTTTACATTGCAGGTTGTAAAATATTTCTATACATACAAATAAAATATTTTTGCATATGCAATGCAAATAATGATGTTACCTATACGTATGTACATTGTACATGGATTGAAAATGATTTACGCTCGCTATTTTTATTTAAACCGTGTATAACTTAATTTACATATTCGGTGAACGTAATTTTAACACGTATACAACCCGTCGTCGCGCGTAACGCCATCTACTTCAGACCCATTGCACTATTATCTGTCATTTTGAATTCAAAAATTTCAAAAGTTTATTGCAATTAATTTTAATCAAAAAACTGTACCTATGGTAAGTTTTTTATTTCAATACAAAATATAACATTAATTGTGTATACAATAGAAATGACTGAAACTGATAGCGACATGGATTGCACTCCGCCAGAGATTTTAGAAACGGCAGAACATGCTACCTCAAGATTTGCTCCCTACAAAGTCGCGAGAGGTGAGAAGTAAGAACGAATAGGTTATAAGTTAACCTAAAAACTAGAGTGGCATGACACGTGAGGACAAGAAAGCAGAAGTTTTTATACTAGTGAAACTGTGACTGAATCTAAATTCGAATACAATTTGAAGTAAAGGGGGTTGGAGAAAAAATTTTATGTTTTATTCGTACAAAAAATGCGTTTTCGGGACTCGGAAGGTTGCTGGACTCCGCTGACGCGTCGTCCAGCAACTATCTTCCTCGTCCCGAAAACTGACATTTTTTGTACTAATGAAACTGTTATGACTTAACCCTAAGTATGTTACGCCACTGATTTATGTTAAAGTAGAGATTGGATAAAATGAAGCGACATCTACCTTCTTCTTCGATCGACCTTCACACGAGTAAGATGTTTCTATCGTTGTAATATTTGTTTATTTTAATATAAGATAAATATTGTCTACATTTACTTAATTGGGTGTTTACAAACACAACAAATTGGCGACGAGGATAAAAGAAGAAAGCATGGGGTAATTTACTCGTACATTACTACGCGACTACACGTGCTTGTTCTCATTCCGAATACAAAATGGACGAACAGCAAAAACAAACATCTACATTACATTTTATACATACAGTGTTTTCTATTGAAAATTACGATACAACGAAGCAGTTCGACAGGTGGCTGATGAGGTTGGAAAGCGCCTTTACAATATTTGGGGTGCAGAAGACAAGAAAAGTAGCTATTTCTTACACTACATGGGTCCGGAAGCCTACGATGTACTCTGCGACAAAATCTCGCCTGAGTTACCAAATACGAAGACGTACGTTGAATTGGTGGATACTATGAAGTCCCACTTCAACCCGGAACCACTAGAGATAGCAGAAAACTTCAGATTCTTGCAAAGGAAACAACACGAAGGAGAGAAGGTCAAAGATTACTTAACGGCATTACAGAAATTGGCAATTACATGCAATTTTGGTCAGTACTTGAAGAAAGCTCTACGGAATAAATTTGTTTTTGGATTACGAGCCCAAAATATTCAATCAAGGTTATTAGAAGTAAAAGATGTGACGATTGAAAAAGCCATTGAAGTAGCAATTAGCATGGAGACGTCACACCGGGACGCAGCCCAACTACACAATGCAAGTGGCAGTGTTAACCAGATTACATACAAAAACAAAAGACTTAATAACACTAGTAAAAATCAAAGTACAACTACTAATACAAATGTTACCAACAAACCAATTGTATGTTTTAGGTGTGGCATTAATAATCATACAGCAAACAAATGCATGAAGAAAAATTTACATTGTACAAGTTGTAACGCAAAGGGGCACGTGAGTAAAGTTTGTTTGAAAAATAAGGCTAATGCAAATCAGGTGGAAGAAATACTTTCCATTAACACCGAACATATCAATTACAGAGAGAAATTCGCAGTAACTTTGAAATTAAACGACGTACTGATGGAATTCGAAGTTGACAGTGGAGCGGCTGTAAGTATTATTAGCAGGAATTTGTTTCAAAAATTCTTTCCAAATTTAAAACTGCAAACTACAAACTTAAAGTTAATTACATATTGCAAAAATGAATTAGAGGTAATGGGGTATGCAGAAATAACGGTTACCTACAAGAATATCACAAAAACATTAAATTTGTACATTATAAATCTTGATCGCAAACCACTACTAGGTAGAGAGTGGATTCGTCAGTTAGCCATTGATTTTGTTGATGTGTCTCAGGTTACAAACTCTCAAATAAGTCCTAATCCTTTAGCTTTGGAGAATATTATGAATAAATACCATACAGTATTTGATGAGAAAATAGGCAAAATTTTAGGATTACAAGCAACCCTTAAATTTAAAGATAACATTACACCTTTCTTTTTTAAACCACGAAAAGTACCATATACATTATTACCAAAAGTAGAAAAGGAACTGGAATTCCTTGAAAGTGAGGGAGTTTTAACAAAGATTTGATTTTTCGGAATATGCAACTCCAATCGTACCGGTTGTTAAAGCAAACGGAAAAATCCGTATACCTATGTGGGGATTTCAAAACGGACAATTGAAAATATTTTAAGAGGTATTGAAGGGGTTTCAGTGTTCTTAGATGACATTAAAATTACAGCGCCAAATGATCATGCACATTACAAACGTTTAGAGTCGGTAGTAGCCATATTAGCTAAACATAATATAAGGGTAAATTTATCAAAATGTGAATTTTTGAAGGATTCTATTGAATATTGTGGATTCACAATAGACAAACACGGGATCCATAAATCGAAACAAAAAATCGAGGCAATTCAAAATGCTAGGACTCCTAAAAATATTACAGAAGTAAGAGCCTTTCTTGGGTTAGTGAACTATTATGGCAGATTTTTACAAAATCCGAGCGCCACACTACATCCACTTTATAATTTACTGAAAGTTGGAGTCTCTTTTCATTGGAGTAAAGAATGTGCAAAGGCATTTGAACTCATTAAAAAAGAAATTCAATCGCCTAGGGTATTAGCACACTTCGACCCAAAATTGCCGTTGATTTTAGCGACCGATGCTAGCCCATATGCAGTGGGTGTTGTACTTTCGCATGCGTATGCAGATGGAACAGAATGACCAATATGTTTTGCTTCACAAACGCTTACAGCAGTGCAACAGAAATATGCACAAATCGATAAAGAAGCATATAGCATTATATTATATTTGGTATAAAAAATTTTATTGTTATTTATGTGGCAGGCCATTTATTCTTTACACAGATCATAAGCCGTTAGTACACATATTTTCAGAATCCAAAAGTTTACCACTGTTAACGGCTACTCGAATGCAACATTACGCATTCTTTTTGCAAAGTTTTCAATATACAATTAAGTACAAACGAACGGATCAACATGCAAATGCAGATGCGATGTCTCGATTACCGGGATTTGCAACAAATGCATATTTGCACGATGAACTGGATTTATTTGAAATACATCAAATTGAAATCCTGCCCATAACACTTAAAGAATTACAGACCGAAACTGCTAAAGATATTACACTGTCAAAATTATTGGTAGGATTACAGTTAGGTCACAACATACAGATGCAGGATAGATTTGGTATTAATCAAACCGAATTTTCGTTACAAAACGGCTGCATATTTAAACAACAGCAAGCAGTTGTTCCCAAAACCTTGCAGTCTAAAATTCTGCAGGAACTTCATACTACACATTTTGGAATAGCAAAAACAAAAGCACTAGCTAGAAGCTATGTTTGGTGGCCAGGTATTACAACAGATTTGGAAAATTTAGTTAAAAATTGTTATCAATGCAATTTATATAAAAACAATCCTTCAAAAGTGCCCTTGCATCCATGGGAACCAGCTCAGAAACCATTCGAAAGAGTTCATATAGATTTTGCTGGGCCTTTCTTAGGACATAATTATTTTATTTTAGTAGACGCTTATACGCGTTGGCCGGAGGTCCACATAGTTAAAAATTTAAAAATCCAAGAGACAATTAAATTGTGTAGAAAAATTTTCTCGAATTTTAGGTTACCAAAAGTACTTAGAAAAACTATTTTTTCTACAATCGATATCCAAAGTAGGCATTTGCGCTCGTATTTGACAACGCAAACGTCATCTTTTTCGAGGAATGTCACTTTGTCGCTTATAAGCGACAAAATAGAAAAAACGCTCGCTCTCCCAATTATTAACTATAAATCAAATATGCATTGCTCAGAGTATCCAATGACAACGAGTAAATGACATCTTTCATTTGGGCATAAGATTAAAATGATTTGAGTGAAAAATTTAAATTTTTGGAAATATGTTAACTGCTCGATTGTAGAAAAAACCTTGTGTGTAATTCGAGCGCAAATTGATTGTCGATTTCAAGAGATTGCCGCGCTCCTTCGTCGCGCGTCAACTGTCTCTTTCAATCGACAATATATCATTTTGCGCTCTTAATACACAAATAGCTATTATTCACAATCTACCTTGTAATATAACAAATTCCATATTTAATTGGATTAGGATACACTTCACTTCTTCCATAATTTTAATGGTAGGCTTTGCATATAAAAAATTGAAAAACTGTTGACATTTTCAGTTCCCTTTTGTGCAGGCGGTGCATTATTTTAAATAAAAATGTCATCAGATAGTGATTGTAGTGTTTTGGAAAGCACCCCACCTGAACTTAGAGCGGCTGCCGCAAAATTGTCAAGTAATTTGTTGCCGATAAAGAGTAAGTCCCGATATGAAAAAACATGTCAGTTACAAGAATTGGTGCGCTCAAAAAGGAGCAAAGAATTTTTATTCCGAAAACGTGGTATTGGCTTACTTTAGTGAAGTTGGGGAAAGTAAAAAACCTAGTACATTATGGTCAACATATTCCATGTTGAAAAGTACTCTTAACATTAAACATCAAGTTGACATCTCGAAGTTCGCTAAATTGATAGCATACTTGAAAAGGAAAAATGTTGGCTATGTCCCAAAAAAGTCATGTGTTTTTACAAAACAAAATATCGATGACTTTTTAAAAAATGCTGCAAATGACTTCCTGGCCCAGAAGGTTAATATCTTGCATTTTTACTTCTATGCGTATAATATTTTAGGTTGCATTAATCATTGGCATTTCTGGTGCCTGTAGAAGCGATGAATTGTTTAAGCTGAAAATATCCGATATTAGCATTTCTGATAAGATCGTTGTTGCCATACCTGATACTAAAACATACAAATCTCGAGCATTTGTAATCATGAATGCTAGTTGGATCGACATTGTTAAATAATATATAAATTTAAGGAAACACGTGAATAGTGAAAGGTTTTTCTTTCAAGTACGGCTTGGGAAAGTAGTCAATCAACCCTATGGCCATAACTCAATAGCCAAATTTCCCCAATTAATTGCTACCTATTTGCAATTGGAAGATCCAAAGGGTTTCACTGGACACTGTTTTCGCAGAACAGCTGCAACCTTGTTGGCTAATTCTGGAGGAGATGTTCTGCAACTAAAGAGATTGGGCGGATGGAAATCAAGTACTGTGGCTGAAGGTTATGTTGACAGCTCTTTAGATGGTCAAGTGAAAATCGCTGATATGTTGTCCACCAACAATTCGATTCCAATTCCTTGCAACAGCACTTCATACTCCCATATTGATCCATCAACTGCATCAGAAAACACAGAAGAAAACGTTTTAACTGTAAATGCTACAAATCCAGTTACAATGTTAACAAACACTAAAAGTCCTAAGAAAACTGTGTCTTACGCTTCAAATCAAGAATTTCAATTTTCTAATCAGAAATTGCAGCAAGGTTTGTCCTTAAATATTAGAGGCTATGATGATCAGGCAACATTTAATTTTCATTTTCATTACTCTAATTCCACCAACGACAATGAAAAACATTGAGCGAATTAGTTGCTAAACTTGAATTTATGCGGTTCAGTAAAATGTGTATAGTTATTATCAAAATAAAAAGTAGTTTGTTGTCGTTTTATTTAAATTGTCATCCAAATAAACGCAGAAGTACGAATGGAGACTACCTCAAGAGCAATCTACTTGAAAATCAATCGCAATCACAAAACACCAGCGTGAGCTTAATACTGAAATCAAGTCGGCATTGGCGTGCAGGTTGGGAAGTACTTTGCCGACCTCAAAAGGGGTTCGCAAAAGATGTCAAACAATTGCTCACTTCCAAACTTCAAAATAGTTGGCAATTGTAATAACATATATGATTCTGAATAATAGTATATTAAGATACAAGTGTATAATCAAGTCTTTAAAGCACGCGCAACGAGTTTAAGGGCACGACGCAAAGCGGAGTGCCTTTAACGTTGCAAGTGCTTTAAAGACCAATTATACACGTGTATCTTATAGTATTTTTTATTATACCTGCAGTATAATTTAAAAATAGGAAATACAATGAAATCATATTGACGTTATACTCGAATACATGTTTAATTAAGTGGGCTGGGTGTTCGAAATTTCACGATTGCCATGGAAATGTCACTTGACGTTTGCTTATAAAAATCGTCGTCTTTGTGAATAAAACGATTTCCGTTGAAAAAGATAATACACCGTCCATTAAATCGCTTGTTGTAAAATCTAAACAAACGTTGGTAGGTGTAAAATCCAAATCTAGTAAAGCCTATTATAAAGAATATGAAAAGTTGTTTCCATGGATGAAAAGGAAGTTACTTACGAATAAAGTCTTAAATGCATCGATAATGCTGGGATATATGAAGGAAATGCCAAAGGTATTTAAATCTCCTATCTTTTGGTGCATTAACTCAAAACTTCAAACAATGCTGCGATTAAAAGTGGAACAGATTTGGAAGCATACCCTAAATTACGCGCGTTTGTGAAACCTTCAACCAAAGGATAGGTACAAGCCAAAGAAATGTTCTGCATTTACAGAAAGCGACCTAAGAGGATCTTTTATTTCAGCCCCAGATGACAGTTTCAAAAGTCATACTTGAAGTATCGTTACTTAGCAACTTTAAAGCACGTGTGTTTTAAAGGCCTTTTTTCGCACGCATTTGAGTGTTTAAAACGGAGATTGTGATTCAGGTATAATAAAAGATATTATTGAAACGGTATTATATCTGTAAGTAGCGGAACTATAGGTACCTATAGCCCACTGCCAGAGTCGTACAGTTCAACGCATGTGCCTAGGTTGTGAGAGGAGACAATTCGTACGTGACAGAAAAATTTAGAACCACGTAAAAATAATGTATTTATGTTAAAAAATGGAAATAAAGTTCTCTTAGTTTTACCTACTTTTTAGCGCATGTTTAAAAAGATAGCTTTTAATCTCACTTTGGCCGGTTAGCTGGCAGCAAATGAGGGTCCGTAGAAGAACACTTATGTAGCAATAATTCCAACTCACATGACCTACCTTGTAACGCACCGGTTACTATTAGGACCCGTGTGGCGAGTTGTATATAGTATTTTTTAAGTTAAGTAGGTATAAGTAAAATAATTAGATTGAATTTGTGGACACCCTGCTTTGTAAAATACGCCTCCGCATGTAAGGGCCCATGGACTTTCTGCCACATGTGCAACCGATTGGGTTTCCGGGCCATTGTGTATGATTACGGTCAACGGTGATACCATGTGTGGCGGCAAGATCCAAGATGCGGTAATTTTTCCCTTGGTGAACCAGGAGGAAACGGAAGGAGTTCGCCAATAGCCGTCTTGGGCAACGCACGTCCGAGACCGCGGATAAATACGGCGGTCATTAGCGTCCAAGTGCGGGGTTTGAGATTCGCGACGTTCCACAAATCAAAATGCTAGTGTGCGCGACAAGTTCGGCATTTTGCGATAGTGGCATCCCGGAAACCGCAGTTTGTTCGAGGGGATTGTTACCACCGAGACGCAGCGTCAGGAACGAGATTATCACCTTCATCTTCATCACCATCAAAGAGGAGGCCTAGAAATCCTACGACAGATGTGTGAACGGGTTCGTGCGCACCGCCCTTTTTAAGTAAGTGACTCGATTACTAACTTCGCGTCTGGAGATTGTTTTTTCTACTGCCGTTATTGTCCGTGTTTTTTTGTAGGGTTCATAGTGTCCTCATTTGTATATTATATTGTAGTGTTAGGTAGGTTTATCTAGTAATATATGTAAATCGAATTAGAGTTGTTCTTTAGTATTACCCATTAGCCCACTGGTCCTGAGAAAGAGGGATATCCGCTCATGCAGAGCTAGTACTCCGGTGCATTACGGTAGGTACTTTACCACCCAAATAATTAGAGTCGGTTAAAAAAGCGACACACCAATTCAGGGTGTTGCAACCTACTGGAATTATGGTTGTAATTTGAAAGTTCACCTCATAACAAAAATAGTCATAAAATGGTGCTTTATATTTGTAGTGCGTAACAAAAAAATAAACAAGATCGATGACTACGGTAGGTACTTATATATCACAGAAATGAATTCCTTTGGTAATTACTTCTTCTTTTTTTTCAAGTCGCGTTTCTTGGATGATTTTGAAAATAGTGCCCTCAAAGATCTATACACAGTTCGAATTACGAAATAAAGAGCAAACAAAAATGAAGTAATGATAAGTAAGATAAAGGCGGTAACATCCAAAAGTATGCGTTGATACCAAGTAAGACGAACTGATGCACACTGTAGGTGAAATGCTCCATCGTGCCTTATTATGTATTCCACCCAGTAAGTGGCAATGTCTAACGGTGGAAGTGGTTGATCGTGAAGGATGTCGGACCTAAGCTTCGCATTTCTGCTATACCTGAAAGACAACACCGTAACACTCGTTTAATGTTTGAGATACCTACGTAGGGTTGCCGGCAACTTCTAGTAAAGCGTGGTTCAAGGTGTCTGCTGTTAGTTCCTTGTAATTTAACCTAACACCGTAACCTTTGTTGACGCAGTCGGCAATATTATATTCTTGATCTGAGAAGAATGGGATACCTATAACCGGCACTCCATAGTGTAACGCCTCTATGGTACTTAGTCGACCTCCATGCGTCACGAAAGCCTTGACATTAGGATGGGCTAAACGATTTGTATTACTACACCATACCACTACCACAACACTTACCCAAAATATCTGTCTGTGGAAGCCATTCATCTGCATAAACGTTAGAAGGCAACTGTAACGAGCGCTTTTCGAATTTCCAGACGACTTTCAGCTTCAATTTTGCAAAACATTTCACTATCTCATCCAACTTTTCCTTGGGCAAATGCGAGCTTTTCACGTTCGTACCAAGACTGAAAAATATCGCTCCTTCCGAAGCATCATCCAAGAACTTTTTCAAATCGGCACTTAGCGGTTTCGGTTTTTCAACGTGAAAACCTCCAATTTCGATCATGTTAGGTACGTACGGTCGAGCGCCTTCAATTGCAAAGTGAGAGTTTAACAATACCAATGAGACATTATCGATTAGAGTCTGAAGAGGTGGCGCGTTCGGAAAATATTTCGTGAGAAGTTCTTGTTGGACTTTTTCATTCACGAAATTGTCGACTAACGTAAATGTAACACTCCAAAACGCGTTACTCATCCGTTGCAAAAAGTTCATGTGGTCAGGATAGGTAGCAAATATATTTCGGACGTAACTATAGGGCGCCGGGTTTCGGGTAATTTTGTTTGTTAGCTGCGAGGAACCGATCGTACTAAATACAATGACGGGTGCTTTAAAATGATGAGCAATTCCAAGGAAGGCCTCGTTCATTGACCAGTTTAAAATCACTAAATCGAAGTGCTCCGAAAGTATCTTCTTGTAGTTTGGATGATTCAAAAACAATTCAGCGACTTCTTTGGCATTTTTTATACTGAATGTCATTTTGTCATACATGGATGCTTCATGAGCATTGACAAACTTTGGTACGATGTACTCTATAATAGGAATTGAGAATTAAAGTACCTAGTTGCAGTTGCTGGAACTTGGAATAGGGAATTATGTAAATGTCTACGAGGCCGACGTAATCGAGAAATCGAGTTAACATTATCTTGTGATAATAGTTAAAGGAAACCTGTGTTGCCTTTCTTTGGTAACAGAGTTATGTTACTATCTAGAGCCTACTGAAAGTTATTATTGCTGTACTCATTTTACTTTTGAAACTAAATAAGTAAATAAGATTATTCATATCGTGATAAAGGTTAATTATAGCATTATTGTCCAAATTATTTTCCACAAACAAGTAAGGTAAAATTCCAAACCATCTTACCAAAGATATCTTTTGGCAACAAAACGTCATTTTTACAATTTTACGACACCATTTGAAAAAATTACTTCTAGATTTCGTAGTCATTTAGACAAACCAGTTAGGTGTAGGTATTCAAACTTACTTTCCTTATAATCCAACATTCCAGTAATGTCGACATCCCTATAGTTTGTTACAGGATGCTGAAATGGAAATGGGCTAATCATCGTGACTTCATGACCTTTCCTCGCCAATTCCTTTAGCAATGCACTACCTAATATGTGATGACTTTTGCAAGGAAAATGAAAAACCGCCAAAATTTTGGCACAAAACGCACCACAGACAACCGACAATAACACAAAAACTATTAAAAAATTCATATTACTGTATACAACACGAGGTCAGTTAAGAGTTCAACAGTGCGGCCCGTAACTTATCAAGACGAGAGAGGACACTTGAGTAACCTCGACTCGAAAACAGTATCATACTTAGGTACATAATTTTAATAGGCTTTTTTATGTTTAGTGGGGAGCTATAAATAAACCAGTGAATTATCATTTGTTCGTGTTTACGAATACATATTGATAATAATATAAGTAGAAACCATAAATAGAAAAATTTACTGATAAAATTTAAAACGACCGTGAATCGTATGCTTCTCAAGGTTTTGCTGCATTAGGCAACACAGCGTACTGCTCAGAATAGGGAACAATAATGGGTACTGTTATGTAACCAATTACTCTTTGCTGTAACTTTGAATATAACTAGATAGAGGGTAAATCCTTTTTGTCATAATAAGCACAAATTTTGAAGAAATGAAAGAAACTTCATGAAGCTTAGTCTCATTTTGTGAGGAAATCGGTGGATATTTAATTTTTGGAACTACAACTATTGAAGTTTAATCCCTCATTTTTTTTCATGTAAAAAAATCAAAAATAATACCTAAATTTAGGTACTTTATTTTCAGAAATGGTAATATTAAAAGTACAATATATAAAGGCCTTGTACATTCAGTATTATTTATTCTTGTTGATGTCGATGGCGTATCGTCACTCCAACGTATCTTTTTCTCCACCGTAACGCGAGAAAAATCTTTTCGCAGGTCTCTTCTTTTTTCGTGAGAGATTCTTTCAAATAACTTTCAGTCACTAAAGATGATTTCCATCCCCATGATTTTTTAGCGTAATAAGGTCTCCACCAGATTCAATTAAAAACTATGCAAAGGATCCTCGCAAACAATACCCAGTATATAATGAGGCAATTCCAAAAACTCAGCTACTAAATGTGGAAATTTTGAAATTGTGCTTTTTCCAATAAGCTTATAAGAAATAAATAATCTGTTACGCGGCACATCTTTCGGTCTTATTTCGACGTACTTCCTAGAAATTGTATGAACATTTGGGGACGCACATAGCATCCGAGTGATAGATTCCCCTGCTCCAGACAATAAAATGTCCAGGAAAATTTAGATGCTTTAAAAGCCCAAAAAAACAAAAACGTTAAGCGGGAAAATTGATTGCAACGATTTTCTGGAACTGTGAGAGGGTTCTGTTCATTGCGTACATTTATTTATTTATTGATTTCTTTATTGTGCCTCTCTTGTTATGGGCCCTCAACAGGCTTTCGCCCAATTACAGAGCGACGTACCGCCATTTAATTGCGATTCCGACTTTTGCGGACCAGGCATTATAGTTTTTGATGGTAGCTTTAGGAATTGTGTCCGTAATTGAACCAACACAATTTTGTTTGTGGAATACGTTTAACTGCTTTCCGCAATAATTCAATGCATCGGCGTCGTTTGGATCTCGCGTAAATAAGAGCAACTTTGTGCGACAATGGATTTTGATCGTCAACACTACGACGTAGACGTTACACATTATTATGGTCCTTTATCACTAGAAATCGCCCATTGCGTATATTCTGTTCATTTTTGGTTAAATATTTCATGCTTTGCTCAAATAAGCTTCAGTTGGTAGAAAAAAAATTGTAGAAATGTGGTATTTTAGCTTATTGACTTTAGTACTAACATGAAGTAGACAGGTTCTTTTCCTAGATCGTTCCAATAGCCTTCGCGCCACATACCTATACGCACTGGTTCCCATTTTCCGAATTGTTAACACATAATTGAACACCGACTTTCATTATAGGGACTGAATGCGACTTCAAGAACGTTTACATATGACGCGGGGTAAAGTAAAACGGGAACTAAAACTCTTTTTTATTGTTTCTGGAAACCCGCAGTTCATAATTTCACTTTTGCCACCAATCTGGTATTGCTAAAGCAGATTTTACTTTTCCTAAGCTTTGTGTCATATAAATGACTGTTTCTCGTAAAAAGCACATTTAACTAACTGTTTAAATCATGCCTCAAACTTATCATAAAATTAAAAAAAAAAGCAGAGAAAGGAGAGGCTGCGTTCCACTATAAGCTCTGCCACCACACCTCTACTGTTTATCTAAAGTACCTGCAATATAACTTTCTTCGCTCCAACTATCGAGCGGAAAATAAAACGTCGAGGAGGTATTTTTGATCCGAATCCATAGAAATGCCTAGAAAAGATCCATAAATTTAGCAACCAGCATTTCCAGCAACGTGACGTCATGGCCGATATGTGCATTACGAAACGAATAGTTAAAAGAAAGTAACGTGGACACAGACGATTGAAACACCGTTTCGGATAACACATTTCACCTGTTATAATGGATTAAATTTGTATCGATGACGATCAGTAAATAAAAGTTATCAATTTGTATCTTTCCACTTGCCACGGAACAATTAGTGTCATTGCGTTATGTTGTAGGAATGAAATGTTTTTCATCAGCTCTGATAGACAGTTGGCCGTTTGCACCGACTAATTTAAGCGGCGCTTAGCTTAAGCGCAGCTTAAAAATTCATGGCAACCATTGTCTCAATAATCGTTGCCATGGATTTTAAGCTACGCTTAAGCTAAGCTCCACTTAAATTTGTCGGTGCAAACGGCCATAAGCTGTTTAAGGCACTAGCAGTAAGACCGGGTTAAATACTTTTCAAAATCTATTTAAAATAGAAAATACAAGCTAAGAAATAGTTATATTTTAAATACCTATTTAAAATAGATTCATTTGAAATAATTACCCAGCTCTGCTAGCAGTGTAAAGTTAATGGTCGAAAATTGCGTGATTCATGGCCATTATAGTATCAAAAAATTAAGCTAGGATTAGCCATTGTTTAAAGTATTTAAACAATGGCTTAGCTCAAATGTAGCTTAGAATTCATAATAACAAATATTGCGACAATGGTTGCTATGGACTTTAAGCTGCGCTTACGCTAAGTCTAGCTTGAATTTTTCCGTGCAAATTGTCTTTATTCCCTGGTGGTCTGAACACACTTTTATTTATGAATCGTTTTCGAGTGGCACAAGAGACACATGCTGTTACAAGTTACAAGACCTATTACCTAACCACAGCCTTCTTGTGACATAACCTCAAATGTTGTTGTGTTTTTAATATTTTCTATTTTTCTAAACAAGATTTATTACAAAATTAATGGCTAAGTTAGAATTTGGATTAAAGCAACAGTGGCTCTTGCAGGAAGGTGTAATGGACCTAGTGTAAATATCACTTGATGGCAAAGAGTGCTTTGATTTTTTCTTACTCTACTGCAGGGACAAATTATGCCATTACCCATGATTGCCACACCACAGCCAGAGGTACCTTCAAAAAACTTGAGTCCTTTAATGTAAAGAATGCATTTTAGTTTTATCATTCGAAATCGATAATAGTAATCCATCCGGGCTCTTTAAACTTACGCATCGGTAGGGCGTCGGACTTGAATCCTATAACAGTACTTCACGCAATCGCTCGTAGGCGTTATCCTTATGGTGAAGTGTACAGGGATTCGTTTCTTCCACCACGAGTTGATGTAAGTTTCAAAAAGATTTTTAAGTCAAAGCTGAAATACACATTTCTAGAATCAATCGCAAGAAATTGAAGAGGCACGTTTATCTGTGTCGCATACGCTGCAATCTTGTTTACAATCAGATGGAAGACGGAGGTACGCTACACCACCACAGCAAATTGCAGCGTTCAATAGACGCTCACATGCGGAAGTATTGGCTAATAGTGGTGGCGAATGGATAAAGCCAGAAGGAGATATTGTAATTGGAAACGATGTATGCTTTATTATTTATTAAAAATGTGTACATTATAACTTGCCATTACAGATTTTAAGAATGAATATCGACGAGCACTTTAATATACATTTTCCTTACAGGCGCGGCGATTTTAATATTCATACTGGGCCTGGTGGCTCGATCACATCCATCGTTGCTGATTTGGAGGCTATTTGGATTTATGTTTTGCAGACTTATTTAAATATCGAGAAGAAAGAGTTGCCTAATTATAAGGCAGTGCTGATTATTCCAGATGTGTACAACAGGACACATTTAAGGGAATTGGTGACATTATTGTTGATAAATATGGGTTTTTCTGGTTGCTTCCTAGTGCAGGTACATGAATTTGATGGTTGGGTGAATCTGTAATAGGGAGAAACTTATGTAATCCGCATTATAACAGTTTTCTTCTATAAAAGTTTCTCTTATGAGAAAACACGGTTACCCTCTATAAGAACACTTTGTCTTTACAGCAGTTTTGTATTATACCAACATCCGCAGATGCAGATGAATAGCATAAGTAACCCCTTTGCATGGAAAACGGTTATAAAAACCAGATATTTTACCATAAGAGATTGGAGGGAAAACAGTGGTTTAAAAAGAATGATTGGATTTCAAACGTGAATATTTCTAAGAGTAAATGGTACTTTTTTTAAATTCTAAAGCTGTCCAATGTGCTCTTCGAATATCACACATGTATTCAAACTTCTACCCTACACATTACAGTAAGTTGGCAGTCACAGGAGCAATGTTGCTGGGAAATAAAAATGGCCACAATGGAGTGTCTAATTTTTGATTGGTTGTTATCGGCGGCCATGCTGCATTGAGATTTTGTTACATGTGTGTCATACATGTATTGTGTGTTGCCTACACTGCAATTGCTTTGATATTTGATTTTAAATTTGAGTTTTAGATGTACATGGCGGTTGAGCAGAGCTTTTAGCTCCTACTGTCTCGTATCAAGTCACTGTAACATACTTTGGCACTCAGCGGTAGCTAATTTGAACTTTATACCTTGCACTTTCATTCGAGGTCCGCCAGAGATATGTAGGTCTAATTTTCATTAACAGAATTCCTCTCTTGACCTGACAAAAGTAGGCGTAACAGGTAAGATACAGTTTTTCGTAGTAGGTGATCAATTACCATATCCTCTCAATGGCTGTTTACTTATAGGGTACGAAGGTTGGTGGCTTTTGTTTTTGGTCATTGTAGCTTTATTGCTGAAAGATCCATGACTGCTTCTAAATCCCAAATAAAGAAGTAATTTGAATGTTTTATGCGTGGTACATTAGAAAGTCTAAATGATGTTCTCAATAGTCAATCTCATTTCGTAAAAATCCAATATGGCGTCAATAAGCAAGTAGTGCATACCCTGTAGCTTCTACATCCAGCGTGTTATCGAAATACTGATAACAGATTCAGATTCTGCGAAATAGAACCGTCGCATTTCCGACCGTGTAAGCTAGGGAAAATGAAAACTATAAATTTAACATTGTCAGTTCTTTGATGATATCTCGGTTATTTTCAAATGTCCAAAGTGTTTTTTCAATCATAAAAAGGGGCCACTGTGTTCCCATTTAACCTACACTGTATCTCTTACAGATCCGGAAGTCCCGATGGTGAGCCACGAATTTGAACGACCCTGTACATATGGTTTGTTTCCTTACGACTAATGATTGTCTTACGTGATAAATCTGAATTTTGTGAAATATACCACTCGCCTTTTCCCAAAGTCTGATCTCCTAGATGTTAGTGTCAGAACCGAGGTTAGAACCCTGGATTATTTTACATTGTGTCTTGTAGTATTTTAAGTTACAATTTTAGAAGTCATCGTCTGTCGGTTCGTTTATTTGAAGTAGCCCAGAGACAAGGTAAATTAAAGACTTCGTACGAGTTAATTAGGCTTATTCCTTAATTAACATTTTTGGAAATAAACGCTTTATCATTCACAATCTACACAAACATTTTACAATAAATGCAAATATTAGGTACTCAAGGGAATGCATTAGTACGAACCAATTTTCGTAGCTCATCATCTGAACAAAAAAATCTGAAGAAATTGTGGTCAAATTGCTACTAAACTCCATTAGGGCTGCATCGAAGAACAGAGTCACGGACTTACAAAATTTTTGGTTTCTAGCACAGAATTGAGGTTCATGTGTCTCTGAATAAGTACTAAACGAGTCGCTTGCATTGCTACGAACTACCTTTCATGCCTTCATGAAAGCTAAAGTGACTCACTGCACAGTTGCAAAGGCTCCCTGCACTGCATGTAAGTAAAGGCTCCCTGGTGGACAATACAACCGGATGTTGTGCGCGTTTTATGTGAGTACCTACCGAGGGGTAAACCGCGATGGGAAATCAGTGTACACGTTTGAGGAAATCTATGGGAAATCATAGGAATTCCGGAGGAACTCCTAGGAAAGCTAAGAATTCCAAGGAATTCCATGTGTATTCAGGAGGAATTCCAAGGAAATCACAGGAACTCCGAGGAAATCAAGGGAACTCTAAAGAAATCAAAGGAACTCGTGCTGCATTTTATTATTTAATTTGGTCTTAACTAATTTTTTGTTTATGGTATTTTTCTCATTTAATAATGAGTTTTTCTCATTGCAAATAGGTCTATTAAAATATAAAATAGTGTTTCGTCTAAGGTCGTGTCTTTATCCGTCCGTCCGCTAACTTTGCGACGCTACTAGTTCTTTATCTTAAGAGCTATTGTTCTACTTTTTTCGCTATTTGGTTCGTTATGGTGTTGAGTCTTGTACCAAGGAAGGAATTTTTTCTGTACCGCTTACAAAAAAAGTTATTGTAAAAAAAACAAAAAACCGTTTTTACATGTTCCATAATTTTACACTTTTGCCGTTTATTAACAATCCTAGAGATCGTTTATAATTTTGCATTGCTATCTGTCGCCTGCCGGTTGGTCTCTCCGTCTGTTCCTTTGTCTGTCTGTCCATCTATCTGTCCGTGTGAACGATAACTTTGTTTAGAAATGTTCGATTGCTTTTACATCTCCGTTAGTTATGAACTGAATTGCATGAAATTCAATATGCATTCAATATTTTGGTTTTGCGCATGCGCAGTGCCAACTTTTTTATTTATGGAAGAATTTAAACGAAATTTGATACATAGGCACTTGGGATGAAGGAAAATCAAACGCCAATTTCAAAATTTGGTTTTGCGCATGCGCAGTGCCAACTTTTTTATTTATGGAAGAATTTAAACGAAATTTGATACATAGGCACTTGGGATAAAGGAAAATCAAAACGCCAGTTTCAAAATTTGGCTTTGCGCATGCGCAGTGCCAACTTTTTTTATTAATGGAAGAATTTAAATGAAATGTGATACATAGGCACTTGGAATAAAGGAAAATCTAGCGCCAGTTTCAAAATTTTATTTTGCGCATGCGCCGTTCCAACTTTTTTTATCTATGGAACTATTTAAGTGAAATTTGATACTTAGGCGCTTGGAACAAAGGAAAATCTTAGTTTATTAGTTAGTTATAGTAAATTAGTTTTAAAAATTAGGTTTGCGCATGCGCAGTTCCAACTTTCTTATTTAGAAAAGCATTGAAATGAAATTCTTCTCATAAACTGAAATTGAAGTAGCACGTCAACAATGGATTGCCCATGTGCAACGCTATCTTTCATATTTGTGGGCGGATTTTTACGATTTTAACAAAAGTTGCATCTTACAAATGGGAAATGAATGCAAGTGGAAATGCGCTTTATGTAAATCGTTTACGATTACTTTTTAACTTGACACTTGACACTTTTATATTTTTTTATGGTTTTACCTCGGATTTTACTTACCAGGAAATTGTTAAATCAACGGAATAACAATGAAATAATTAAAAAACTTTAAAAAATCAGAGGAACTCACAGGAACTCCAAAAGAAAATCGAGGGAACTCCAAGGAAATCAGAGGTATTTCGTGGAAGTTGGGGGAACTCGGAGGAAATCAGGGAAACTCCGAAGAAATCAAATGAACTCTGAAGAACTCGAAGGAACTCAGAGGAAATCTAATATTTATAGGAAATCAGTGTACAAAATTTGGGTTGCGGTTTACCCCTCGGTACCTACTAAGCACGTCTTAAACCAACGGCACCACCCTTACCTCCTACACCTCGGCACTCTGAGTGTGAGGTCGTATGTGGCGAAGTCGATCTACTTGCGAGTGAGCGCATAAATGACAGTACTCGGCACCGTTTGGCCACGCAATTGCGGACTGGTATTAAAGTCGAAATGTCGTGAGGTTTGTCATCCGCAGTAAACAATACAAAACCTACCTAAACCGGTAGAACTTTCTTTGACACATTTCAATGCATCTGCACGAAGTGATAAAATTACAATATGGGTCAATTATATTAGGAGGAAGTAATGAACCATTTCAGTTAAACCGCAAATTTAACTGCCGTGTATGTCTTTAATGATTGCCCTATACCCCGTACCTCCCTTGCACCCGGACGTGGTGTCATCGGTGTCTCAGCGCCTTCGGTACTGTTACGCCTGCGCGCCCTTGCGTTGCTACCTAGTTAGTTCACTGTGCTCAGACATTGAATCAGAGACTTGCTATAACCATTGAATAAAGATTCTTAATTCAAACTATGTATAGGTACTTATTACGGATTTCCCAGATAAAAAATTCATAAGTTCTCGTAATAAGCAAAGTGGTATAATGAGAAATTGTTATAGCAGGAAACTGAACTGACATACTTATCAATTTCTCTCTATCACACCTTCACTGAGTCGAATTTCATTACATTACAGGTATCAGCAGTTTCATGTTTAATCAAGAATTTCTTATACAGGATCATGTTGCCGCTACCTTTGGATCTGGCTTAAGTTACGCTTGTGTGGTAGATGTAGGCGATCAAAAAACCTCAGTATCATGTGTTGAAGATGGAATCTGCCATCCTAATACACGGGTAAACACCAATAGTGAAAATTATTCGCAAATGAACAGCCTTTTGCTTCAGGTCCGCTTGGATTATGGAGGTGCAGATATCACCCAAGTATTTTATTGGCTGCTTCAGAAATGTGCATTCCCATACAAAACGTGCAGTGACGCCAATAAGTTGGATACAATGTTGCTTAGAAAATTAAAAGAGGATTTCTGTCATGTTAATTTGGTACCTATATGTTGAATGACAATCCAACTTGTTCCACTTACACTTTTAGCGCGAAATAGGATATATGTGGGTCTTTAGAGAAAACATTTATTTTAAAACAACCCCAGAAACCCGTTTTACAATATACCATACAAGTCGGAGATGAATGCATAGTGGCGCCCTTGAGTTTATTTAGTCCAGAATTGTTTGGAATAACTGGAAGTAAAACGGTATGTACTCAGAAACGTTCAACAGGAGATCCGGAAGATCCTCACGATGAGAATTACCTAAGAGAAACCAGAGTATGTGCGCATGTGAAAGTTAAAATCGATTTTAAATTGTAGACTTTAAGAGGAAAGGAATGAAAGAAAATTTGGAACCATCTGCGGACCTGCTTGGCGATCCCTATTTAGAACAAGCTGGCGGTGGGAATAATGTTAACGATGACGACATCGTTGTTGATGCCATCGATATTGCTCCAGCAAATTCCGATAGGGATTTTATTGTCAACCCGGGACAAATATTGGGATTGGACCAAGCTGTTCTGCAAAGTATTGACAGATGCCGTAAGTATTTTTGACTAAGTTGAGTTGAATAACATTTGGAAAACCTTAGCAAATGAAGATCTGAAACGAAAGATGTATGGTTGTATTCTAGTGGTCGGTGGTGGTATGAAGTTTTCCGGTATCGGTACCTGGCTGCAGAACCGCATTTCGTTACAAATACCGTATCTTTACAGAGCAGGTTCGTTTCTAATGTGGTAGTTTGTATCTAGAGAGAAGGCCACATATTTGGGCCCATTGTACTGCCTCCTTGTGCCTAGAGATGTTTGACCCCGACTTCACTACTCAAGCTACCGACAGCTTTAACCTCTGCTAATATGAATTTGGAAGTTGTGCGAGTGACAGGGCAAGTGGTGACTCCGGATAGCAAAAATGTTGTTTGAGGCATCAGCATTTTCTTTTCCTAATGTGGTGGATTCTGTATTGGATTTTTTGTTTGTAGAGCAACTAGACATTATCACAAATCCTCGTGACATGGATCCAGCCATGGCCGCCTGGAAAGGAGCATCGATAATTTCTTGTTTAGAAACCGCGCATGAACTTTGGATTACGGCCAATGAGTGGGAGAAGTATGGTGTACGAATTTTACGTGAACGGGCACCATTTACGTGGTAGCCAGAATAGTCAATATTTGATCGAGTGATCTTTTAATGTAATGATGCAGTTAGTTAATTTTATGCATGTCGATTTTATTTTCAACATTTCTTGATAATTTTTGTATAATTTATCGCTTATTTTAACGGATAAACAGTTTTTTTACATATTTTGTTTGATTACCTTGCGGAAATACAGTTTTTTTTACATAGTGATGAAATATCGGACTTTTTTAAACGACAATTCAACTCATGTATAAAAAATCGCATAAGCCGCAGTGCAATTGTCACTTTAACAGCGGCAAAAGTTACCTGCATCTTTTCCAGCGACAAATGCACTAGTGGTTTTTTCACTATTCATTTTCGAACCAATTATCGCATTATCCTTTCCCATATGACTAGTTTGACGTCTGTCAATAATTGATTAGTTTGGTGAATTTCTTGTTCGTTAAATTGTTCTGCCGAATTACACTCGAGGTTTGTATTTAAACTGAGTAAATTTGGGTTGTTGCAACTCACTGTTTCCTTTTAGCAATTTAACTCGAAAAACTGTCAACCTAAAAATGCTCCACCTGCGGTGTCGCATTTTTATTAGTTGACAGTTTTTCTCGTCTAATTGCTAGGCAACAGATTTTCATTACCTAAACAACCCAAATTTACTCGGTAAAATACAAACCTCTTGTGCAATTATAAGTGAAAAATGGTATGGAAAGTGGTACTTATTTTCACGATTTTTACTATGCGTTTCCATGGAGCTGACTCCTGTCTGACCAATAGCATCCACTTGACTGACAGCGTTGCTGACAGTAAATCGCGATTTTTATATTTCAATAGTGGGGGGGTATTATGGATCACTATGCAAAAAAATTTCGTTTACAACACGTGTTGAAAGTGTCTTTTTTCCATGAATTTGCTTGATTTTCTCGGACCCCGCCCTCATTAATTAAACTTCAATAAAATCATGAAAAAAGTATTACTTTCAAAACTAAATAACTATTTTCTGAAACTACTTCAGAAACAACTATTTTCGTCTCTAAGAAGGGTGAAGAAAATGTCATTTTCCTCTCTAGTAAGGTAAGTAAAAAACAATTGCTGCGTTGATTGTAGTTTCAGAAAAAATTATGTGTAAAACTTGAGAAGAAAATGTTTTTCAACTCTCGTTCAATTGACACACCCAAGTTGAAAAACTCCGCTTTCTTCTCCATTTGTACAAATAGGTAACTATTGTTTCATCTATAAAGCCGCCGGTTTCAGAACGTTGCACCTATTCGTACATACCACGTAATGTTACTATAGGTATACAGACCATCGATCTCGATCTGTAAACGGTACCTATCTATAGCGCGCTCGCACCTCCAGATGCTCCAGCATTTAGTCCATAAGACCCCATGCTGCATCTGGAGGTGCGAAACACGCAAAACAGTCACCTCAACCATTCAGGTACAGTCCACTGCAAAACTGGTCGCCTGTGAGTTGTCTACAAATTATGCTATTATATTTTCACCTCTATCTAGCCCATGCGAAGAAAAAAACACCTTTTGCAGTGGACGGCTACTTGCGACTGTGCTTATACTTAAACGACGCGGCGTATAAATTATCTCTTGGGGTGGGTATCTTTCGAACCTTTTTTGTCTTTAACAATTCAAATCGGTGGAACGAGGAGAGCTAAAGAAAAACAATGTTTAACGTGATTTATCCCGTCCATACTAATCATGAATCCAGATTTGTGGATTGTAGTGATTAAAACCACCAGAAGGTTTTCAGAAATGCTGTTTCTGGTCAGATTTGGTGTCGGGTGCTCCAGGTAACTCGAATGGAGAAAGCGGTCCCAGGAATTCTAACGCGCAAGCGGTGGACGGCCACTAGTAAATGCTAAAACAAACTTAAAGCGCAAAGCAATTTCCCTAAGCGGGAACAGTAAATAAGCGGATTCGGTGATTTCTATGGGAAAACTGTTGAAGAGACAAAATCGTGTACTGAGTACGGACCTGGACAAAGTTTAAACGTTCAATTGCGTTTTGCGCATGCTTTCTTTTTAATAGCAGTTCACGTTTTGATGAGAACGATATAAGTTGTACTTATGCAATTTGCAAATAAATCCTTTTTTCTTTTTACTTGAATTAATCTTAACAGGTTATGTGCCCAGATGCGCTAAAAGGTGCGAAAAGTAAATAAGAAGTCGTAACTTTGTAAGGTTTAGTTGTAAACAGTGCTAAGTATCTGGTAGTTTGTTTCGCGCGCGGTATCGTCACAAAATGTCGGACTTTAACTTCAAGGCTCACATAGAAAAGTTGGAGGGTGCTTCGAATTGGAGTCAATGGCGAAAACAGGTTGAACTTTTGTTAAAACATCAGGATGTTTTGGATCTGGCCATCGGGACGCGAGCATCACCAGCGGGACCTTCAGCGAATGCGGATCAAGCGGTTATTTCAAAGTATCAAGCGGATTTGAAAACGTTCAACAAAGATGATGCTTTAGCACAGCTGATTCTAGTAAGTAGCATGAACAAGACAAATTTAAATTTGGTTGCTACTTGTGAAACTGCTAATCAAACGTGGGAAAAGCTGTTGTCTGTGTATGAGCAAAGTTCAGGGCAACGCGTAGATCGGCTGATGGAGCAGTTTTTCAGCAACGATAGGACTCCAGAGGAAGACATTGCTACACATATCGCAAAGCTGCAGAGAGATTTCCAAGAAATGAATGATGAACTCAGGCGGTTGGTGAAAACAGAACTCCCGGACCTAGTGCTAATGAGTAGGATCATGTCGACGCTACCTTCTGAATATTTTGAATTCAAGAGCGTGTGGGAATCTGTCCCAGTGGAAGATCGCACCTTAAATAAATTAACCGAAAGACTTCGCTTAATTGAAATGCGTTTACCGGCGAAATCTAAAAACGTGGGCGCTTTCGTGGCCAAGGGTGGTGATAAAAAGCAGGCGAATAACTATCCCAAGTCGGAACCGAAATGTTATCGGTGTCATCAAGCAGGACATTTTGCAAAAAAATGCCCCAAGAAAGGGAGCGGAAATTCCGCGGGAAATTCGTCCGAATCACGCGGCAGGAGGTCATCCGGGTTTGATTCAAGAGCCGACGGTGATGCTTTCGTAGGTGCGGAAAAATCTAACAAGGACGCGAATGCAGAATTGTGGTTAGCGGATTCAGGAGCTAGTGCGCACATGACCAGGCATAAAAGTTATTTTATAAACTTTGAACCGTTCTCACTTCCAAAAACGGTGCAAGTCGGGAACAGCGAGAAAATTTTCGCGTATGGTCAGGGTCAAATAAACGTTGAAATGTTTGTTAATGGCGAGTGGCGCAGGAATCATTTAAATAACGTGTGGTTAGTTCCGGATATCGAACGAAATTTACTTTCAATAGGACAAACTATAAGTAATGGATATCATTTTGAAGCTAACTACGGGGGATGTTACTTTAAGAAGGACGGTAGTGTTCGATTATCAGGCAAGAAATTGTCGAACGGGTTGTATGCCCTAAATATTCGAGTTCGAAAACCGGAAGCGGCAGCAGAAGTGCATGTTGCATCAACAAAGGAAACGTTGCAATTATGGCATGAGCGTTTCGCACATCAAAGTAAGTCGCATGTAACACATTTTCTTAAAGAAAAGGGCATCGAGGTGGAGGCACATGAAGAGTTTTGTGCAGGATGCGTGTTTGGTAAACACAGTCGCGCCAGTTTCCATTCTCGAAAAAACAGACCTACGGTTCCAGGAAAAATAATACACGCGGACGTTTGTGGACCGATGCAGGAGGAATCGTTAGGAGGGGCCAGATATTTTGTTTGCTTCAAAGACGATTTTTCGAAATTTCGTCGAGTGTTCTTTATGAAAGCAAAAAGTGAGGTACCCGAGTGTTTAAAAATATTCGTAAACGAGGCGACCGCGATTGGTGTTAAAATTGAACAATTTCTATGTGATGGTGGCAAGGAATTTGACAATTTTGAAGTGCGAAAATGTTTAGAGTCGAAAGGTATCACACTCAGAATAACAATGCCGTACACACCCGAACAGAATGGGTCAGCAGAACGTGAAAATAGGACCTTGGTAGAAAGTGCGAGAACGATGATCCATGCAGGAAATTTTCCGATTAAATTGTGGGCGGAAGCCGTCAACACAGCGGTGTATGTACTGAACAGGACCGGACCGACGCAAGTGAAGGATAAGTCACCAATGGAATTGTGGAAAGGCAGTCAAACTGTGAGTGTACATAATTTTGAACATCTGCGTATTTTTGGGACACAATGTTTTGTGCACGTACCAAAACAAACAAGAAAAAAATGGGACAAAAAGAGTACGGAAGGCATTTTCGTCGGATACTGTGGCGAGAAAGATGGCTTTCGAGTGTGGATCCCGGAAAGTAACAAAGTTCTCCGAAGTCGCGATGTCATTTTCGGGAAGGAGAAGATTGTGTCTGAGAAGACTCAAATAACAATGACCTTGACACAGAAAAATTCCGAAGAATCTGAGGAAAATTCGGATTCGGATAACAACGAGGGCATCACGGACGATGTTTCGCAAGAAACTGAAAAGTCGCAAAGAAGAATAATCAGGCCACCCAAGTACTTGGAAGATTATGTTTATTTTGCGGCGTGTGATATACCAACAACGGTGCAGGCAGCGATTGCTTCTGAAAAATCCGAAGAGTGGCGCAATGCCATGAATGAAGAAATAGCTTCGCTAAAGGAAAACGAGACGTGGAAACTCGTTGAACCACCTCAAGGTAAGAAAATTCTAAATAACCGTTGGGTGTTTCGCGTAAAGACAAATTCGGAAGGTGATCTCGAACGATATAAAGCGCGTTTGGTTATAAAGGGGTGTTCACAAAGATTCGGGGTTGATTATGAAGAAACATTTAGCCCGGTGGCGCGTTTCGATACCGTTAGAATTTTATTGTGCACGGCCGCGCTTAAAAGTATGCATATGATGCAGTTCGATGTAAAAACGGCCTTCCTATACGGACATTTAGAGGAAGAGGTTTACATGAAACAGCCGGAGGGCTACGATGACGAAACCGGACGTGTGTGTAAACTATATCGTAGTTTATATGGCCTAAAACAGGCACCGCGTTGTTGGAATAAACGATTAGTCAGTTTTTTAAACAAACATTCGTTTAACCAAAGTGCAGCGGACCCGTGTTTGTTTTGGTGCGAAGTAAATAATCAATATATGTTCGTGGTAATTTATGTTGACGATGGTTTGGTAATAAGGACGAATTACACTGACCTTTGCTTATTTATTTCTAAATTAGAAAATGAGTTTCGGATTACCGTGAACGAGAATGTGGGATGCTTTTTAGGTTTGCAAATAACACGAAAAGAGGACGGTGCTATTTTTGTAAACCAGTGCGCTTATATTAAAAAGGTGTTGGAACGATTTAATATGCTAAATGCAAATCCGGTAAAGACACCCGCGGAGCTTGTGGGAACGAGCGATCTCGGTAATAAATGCGCGTTATCCATTCCATATCGAGAAGCAATTGGGGCCCTTTTATATTTATCAACAGGAAGTAGGCCAGATATTGCTTACGCGGTAAGTACAGCAGCCGAAGCTGTTGAAAATCCGTGCGAGGGGCACTGGACGGCTGTAAAGAGGATTCTGCGTTACCTGAAGGGAACTATGGAGATGGGTTTGTTATATAAAAACAAAGGAGAAGGCGATTTACTTCGGATATACAGCGACGCTGATTATGCCGGCGATGAGTCCACCAGAAGGTCGAGAACCGGGATCGTATGCATCTATGGTGACGGCGCCGTGACATGGAAAAGCCAAAAGCAACGCAGCGTCGTCCTCTCGACAACAGAAGCGGAATACGTAGCAGCCTGCGAGGCCACTAAAGAAGCAATATGGGTCAACGTACTCATCGGTGAAACCACCAAGGAAAATCATATTCCCACTTTATTTGTGGACAACGCGAGTGCCATCAAATTGTGTAAAAATCCTGAGTTTCACAAACGGTCAAAACACATTGACGTGCGTTTTCATTTCATCCGGGAAAAATACAACGAAGGTGCCATTCAAATACGGCACGTGCCTGGAAGCGATCAAGTTGCAGACGTACTAACGAAACCGTTAAGTCGCGAAAAATTTGAAAAGCATAGGTCAAATTTAGGAGTTGTTTTTCTATTCAGAGCAGCCGATTTTGAGAGGAAGTGTTGAAGAGACAAAATCGTGTACTGAGTACGGACCTGGACAAAGTTTAAACGTTCAATTGCGTTTTGCGCATGCTTTCTTTTTAATAGCAGTTCACGTTTTGATGAGAACGATATAAGTTGTACTTATGCAATTTGCAAATAAATCCTTTTTTCTTTTTACTTGAATTAATCTTAACAAAAACAATTGCAGAAGGCGAGACAATATAATTTATGAAACGTAACGAGTAACAAAAAGCTTACCTTGTAATTAACGGAGCGGTAGCAATTAAAAAATATAACTAGCGATGGGTTCGAAATTTAAAACTTCTTTAATAGTCCAGTCTATATAATATTTTCTTACAAAAAAATTAGTTACCGGTTCAAACCGGGTCTTTGATTGAAATGATTAGAAATTGGAAAAAAATAATAAAAAAAATAATAAAACAGCTGAAAAAAAACAGCTCTTTTTCAAGGAGATGAGGCGTGCGGGGTAGCAAAATTTTCGGGGAGACTTATATTTTAATAAACAAAAATAAAAAAATATTATTCCTATAGCAAAAATTCGAGAAAATCGCTAAAAACTGGAAAAACAGTTTTAAGATATACACGTTTTTTGACATGATACATCAACATGTTGGAAGTTACTAAAGATTTTTTCGAAACCTGTCTTCTTGCTTCCCTTTAATGTTTGCTTAAATATTCTCTTTTGTTATCTTATGCTCAACTGTTTTTGTTATAAATCTTTATTATTTCATTTTTCTGCATTTTTAGCGGAATAAAAGCAATTCGAAATAAAATCGAATTATCTTGCTTTCTGATTCCTGAACAATTTGTTTTTGTTTACTGACTCTTCTTCCTGCCTGTTTTATAGCTGATGCAATTGCGTTGGGCCTGTTAATAAACTTGCAAAATCTGCAATAAGAAGGTTAGTTTTACCAGCCAAAGCAAATGATTTGAGATATAGGTACCTAAAACCTGAAATAAACTTCGTAAGCAACATTAAAGAGGAGAGAGAAGACAGATTTCAAAAACTTTTTATTAGCGCGGATCCAATACGTTAATTTAGTTGCAAAAAAAGCTATTTACCTACTATGTCAAAAACAATGTAGGTAGGTAGGTATATATCTTAAAACTGTTCCCCCAGTTTTTGCCGCTTTTCTTAAAATTTTTCTATTGGAATATTTTTTATTTTTGATATAGTAAGTCCTTACGGTAATTTTGCTACCCCGCGGACCTCTGTACGATGAAAAAAATATATTTTTCATTCCCTTGAAAAATAGGTGGTTTTTTCACCCCTTGGACTATTTTTCGCAAAAATAAGAATATAACACGAAAAAAAACAGCTTTTCCAGTTTTTTTTAGGAAAATTGAGGTTATGTGAAAATAGTGCAGATACAAAAGTTGCTCTGTAACTAACTTTTCCATTGAACATTTTTGTCTAAAATTAATAGTTTTGCCACAATTTACAAAACACCACTTTCCACCCCTTTTAACCCCCGGGATTTCACCCGCGGAAAAATTCAGCTGTTTTTAATTATTTTTCCCAATTTCTAATCATTTCACCTGCCTGAAAAACCCGGTTTCGCCCGGTAACAAATTTTTTTTGAAAATAAATTATTTTAGAGTTATTTTAGCTAGTTAGCCTGGACTATAAATAATTGCTTGACCGGGGATCAACGGAAAAATACAAAACTGGACGCGCTTAATTTTGCACTCAGGACACCCCGACCGAATTTAGATTACTGCACGACATTTATTTAGCTACTTTTAATTTCACTCGCATAATTGGTCGTACTAAAATTTACAGAATCGGTAATCCAATTAATAGCCATCGTTTATAATTGCAATGTCAGGGTCAACCGGCGAAATCGATGCTATCAAGCTGATATCGGCGTTGAGTTCCAATGCTCGTTTTAATTTACCATAGAAAACAAAACCTTCTAATAATGGCTTATCATTCATGACTGAAATTCTAAAATATTAATTTGCTCTCTTCTTTAAAATGACGAGAGCTTTCGAACGCAATAAACACCACTGAAATATCTGAAAGAGAACGGTTGGAAACTGCGGGCGGATTAATTACTGTACTGGTGTCTGAAACACAACTCTAGAAATTAAGTCAATTATACCTTTAGCTTCTATCTTCAACTCTAGACCCAAGAAATAAAGAAAAAATAGGAGAAAAATAAAACACAAATATTTTCGGCACGAGATTTTCGAACTAGATACCGGGTGTTCAGCTGAGCTGGTCGAGTCCATACACACGGTATAGTCATAACGTTGGGTATGAACTTCAAGGCGGAAAATGAATAAGTAACTTCGTTACAGCCTATTCGGAACTCAGGAAATCTAACCTCTTTATTTCGAAAAAACCCTGAGCAAGATCGCTACCACTCACTCGAACCGCATTGACTATTATGCTCTTCCCAAAAAATCGAGTTACTTATCGGTGATAAAGGAAAAAAAAAGGAAGTCAAAGATTTTGCGGACTGAATGCGTGGGGGCCTTCAAATTGCCAGAGAGGCGAGAGAGTGTAGATACGGTCGCGGGCATAAGCGTAAATTCCGGGTCGCATCGGAGGCTTATAATTTATGCTGCATACTTACCCACCGGATATAATGTTCGTTCCAATGTGAAGATGGTGCCGATTGTTTTCTTGGCCGACCAAGGTTCCATCAAAGAGAAACAGAGATTTACATTGAAATCCGAGAGTCGCTATCGCACAGAAACAGACACAAATGTGAATTGTATCACTACAACGCTCAAGTGCATTTAGCCCTCAGAACTCGCAAGTAATATATGATCAAACACTCGAGCATTGTTCTTCGCAATCGACCCTACCCTCCTGATTTTGCTCCCGTTGTTTTCTACAAACTCAACACATTTGATGAACATTTGAAACGATTCCCGAGATTAGAGCAAATGTGATGAAGACGCAGAAGAGCATCACAGAAGAAGCGTTTCGTGACTGTTTACAAAAGTTAAAGAGGAAACACCCTTGGAATTGAACAAGGAACTATAGGTACTTTGCAGAAGACCGCGACATATAGAACTTCTCAATAAAGTACAGTTTGTCTTATGTCGTCAGTCTCCTTAACACTCCACAAATGGCTATTATGATCTCGTGTCTTAAATTCCATTAGCGTTGTACACATCCCAGCATTATACGCTGTGAATCTCCAAGCTTGCCATTGTTGGGTATCCTTTCTCTCGGGGTGCTCGAAATGGGGTAAAATGATAAGTGTTATTGCCATAACTTCTTTTGTTTTGTGGTCGACAAACATATTTATCCGTACGTTCTCAGTTTTTATTTATGTTATAATATAGAATGTAAATACTGATAGCCAACGCAAAATCTACTTCTTATCTGTAAAGTTGTGCCAATAACCTTTATATCACAACCTTTTTATATTGGAAAGTAGCAAATAAGAAAAATTGTATGCAGTCCCGTTTCTTCGTAACACCAAATATGATTTTCAAACTGATTTTATTTGCTTTCCTCATCAGTACTTCGTATCAGGTAGGTCGAAACTAAATGGTGTTGTCTCTAGCACGCTATAATCTTTCGTGTTTTAGACGGATATTGAATTAGCACCTTTGGACAATGAAACCACCACTGCGCTAGAAAATGTTACCCAAACAGCAACCACAACCAATACCACCACGACTTCCACCACTACTCAAATACCATTAACCATAAGAGAGAAGTGCCTAATCGGTCTTAACGTAAGCGAGGATTATTCTGATACCTACGGAGCTGTTGGGGAAACAAACGAAACATACCTTAATTTCATAAGTTGCTACTGGAAAAATCAAAAACTTCTGGGAGAGAATGGTGAGATAAACTTTATTTTACTAAAAGAAATGATCAGTCAGGCTGCGCGAATCTCCGTTGATATTACTGACGTCCCTCTGTCAAACGCATGGATTATTGCAAACGAAATCATGGAAGAATGCAAGGAAACGAACGGCAGTACGCATGGGGAAAAAGCGGTCAAAATGAGAAACTGCATGTATGGAAAGCTTCTGTACCAGCGCGACGTAAGTGCGAAGTTCACTTTTCGTTGAAATAATGCTGTTCAATTTGTAGAAAGAATTCCTGTTGAAGGAATATGAAGATATACCCTACTTAGAAGTGTCAGAAGAGGCTTGCGTTGTGCAACTGAAATTAGATCCTTTGCTAATTGAAGATTTGAATCGGCATTACTTGGTAGTTGAAGACAACGTCGAATTTAAAAACTTTTTAGAATGTTATTGGAAAGACGTGGAGTATATGGACAAAAACGGGACGTTAAACATTCCGTTGCTCCAGATAAAGCTGAACGATGACATTGAAATGGAATTTTTATCGCGCAGTAAAGCGCCATATTTGACTGACATTTTAACGAATTCAATTTTGAAATCGTGTAAGACAATTAAGGGAGACGGTCAACTAGTATCCAACATGTACGCATACATCTGTAGACGACTACCTTATTTCAGTAATATACTTTTGCACGAATAAAATTAAGAAATGACGCGTATATACTTTGATAACCTTTGACAGTATCTACATGTAGAAATATTCAAGAAAAAATGTACCACATGTTCTTTTTTGTAATTTTTTGCTTTTTGTAATTATATTAGATTAAGATTCTATTTGTTGTTGGTTACCCAAAAACTATTCACATAATATCTTGATAGAAATTTAAGAATTGCGTAGGTACTTGTACGTTATTTACGATACTTATCAAGTTTCAATATCTGCTTACTTCGCAGTTATTTATTAATGTTACTTACCGACACTTAGTATTACAGATACTTATCCGCAATGAAGCCGCTGCTTGTCATCCTTGTTGTAATATGGAATGTAAGTACTGTTAAAAATTACTAGGTAATACATCATTTCCTACTATCATAATACGTAAGTTTTTAACAGACTTTATTTGACAAGAAGTAGGTATCAACTTTTCCCAGTTGTTATAATTTTCCAGTTTCCACATACTTTTTCGAGTTTGCTACATGGGCGATATGATATCATATCGTTAATTTGGTTTCATTTGGTGACGTCAAGTATTCATTTAAGTAGTGCCTAGCAAACTAATTAATAAATAATAAATACATTTAAAAATACTTATGACTCAAACAGAAACACTTCTATAGCACTCCATGACGGTGATCAAAATATGCCAAAATATAAAGACATTCTACCATTGAGTAATAAATAGCTTCACTCAACGATTCTATGACATCATAGTGTACATCGATTTGTTCATTTCGTGTGAAACCAGCTGATAGCGTTTTTAGTTAGCGTGTGTCTGTCTATCAGTCTGTGCAAATACCATAAGACTAGAAAAGTTCAGATTTTTACAGTAACTTTGTTTTTTCTGCGTTGTGCTTAGGTAAAGCCAGTACAGATATCTGCAATTATTACACTGCTTCGTTGGTACCGAAACGCGATAGACACTATAAATTTCGTAAAATGTTAACACGTATTTGAACAACGTTGATCCTGTTTGGGAGTATGTTAATCATTTTGTTTGCAGGTGGAGTACATAAGATCTGAGCAAATGATGCTCGACGCAAGACTTGAACATTGCCTTTGGAATACGAGTAAAGCGAACGGTCCATACGAAGCCTACTTTCGTAACCAAATAAAAGACGAGTACGCCCGTTTGCAAATAGTAACCGGATTAACACGATACCATTTGTCAGTATTTGGAAATTATCATATAACTCCGACTAATAATCCCAGCTATAATGCGTTTCTAATCTGCTCCTGGCACACTTACGGATATTTGCATGGTACTGAAATAATATATGATAGCATTGAAATGGCTCTTAAGGAAGCATTAATTCGTGCAGTTGGAGCTAGCGGTCCAGGCACACAGTTGAGCAAGTTACAGGCCAGGAATATCGTGAGGCAATGTAGAGACGTTTCACAACAATACATCGCAACTCGTATAATTCATGTTCAAAACTGTATTCATAGAAACATTGGATATCTAAAATCTTTGTAACATGTCTTACCAAAAGACGTCGAGTGTTAGTACTTAAATGTTAGTAGAAATTGTTTTAATACATTATATTGTAATATTTATTAAAAAAAGGTATACATATTGGGTATGTTTTTTCCAGTGAAACATGTGTATAATCCCGATTATAAAACAAACACAAAAAGTAATAATTGTCCATTACTTTCCCCAAATACTGATCAACATGCTAGAGCGTGAACTATTACTTGTGGGTCACAAGTTGCCATCTTCCACAATAATTGGGGTGTCTATCGACCTATAGAGATTTCGAATGTGGATAGACATTGTGGAGCATAATTTTTTTAGTTATTAAGTCACCAAATTTGTATGTTAGCGTTAGACATTTTTCCTATCGAAATTGTTCTACGAGGCTCCCGTTTGCCGCACTTTATCATTAGTAAGTAAACTCGTGTGAAATGTTTGTGACATTGGATGATGCATGTACTTAAGGAATGGGATGCTGGTCCTTTAACCACTAGATCCATTCCAACATGCTTAAAGACCTGGTATGTCCGCGGAGACGGCTCTTCACAGCCTTGTGTGCAGACTGGGGAGGACAATGTCAACTGGTCCTGACCAGGTCAGTGAAATATTTGGGAGTCATCATAGACTAACCTACAGAAAGCAACCGGGAAAGGTACAGAGATTCGCCTCTCTGGGAGTCATTGGAGGCATGAAAATCACACCAACTCTGGGCATGGAGGCGCTTCTAGGACTAGAACGTTTACACTTAGCTGTGGAAAGGTCGAGGTAATAATAATAATAATGTTTATTTATTCTGTTTCGACATAGAGATGTATGGGACAAAGTCAAATATATAGGTACAGTACAAACATACAATAAAACAAACACAGAAATACAATTAACGGTTTGCTACGTACCGAGATGCACCAGGATCATTTAAGAGTTCTTCAACGTTATAGAACATCTTGTCTAAAAGGAGACTGACTAGATTACGTTTGAACGTATGGAAGTTGTTGGTCGTTTTAATGGTATAGTTGGCAAACTATTAAAAATTTGAACTCCTATAATATATGGACTGGACTGATTGACATTAGTTCTTCCTCATGGCACTCTGAAGTCATTATTATTTCTTGTGTGATATTTGTGTATGTCACAGTTGTGTAGAAGTTTATGGTTATTTTTATATATAATTTTACACACTTCCAGGATAAATAGGCATGGTTGTGTATAGTTCGCACCACATATGCATCTAACGATTCTTTTCTGTGTGACAAAAACTTGATTGAAGGTGGATGACCGACCCCAAAGGCACAAACCATACCTGAGCTGTGATTTAATGCAGGCAAAGTAGAACATCCGAAGCTGTTTCACATCCAGATAGTACCTAAGGTAGCGTACTCGATAACATTCATGTATTTAATTGTTTAATTAAGTTTTCGTTATGGAATTTCCAGCTTAGAGTGTCATCGAGTACGACACCCAGAAACTTTACTGTAGTTGATTTTTCTAAATTAGCATCATTAACAGAAATATTAATGTCAAGAGTATTAGTATTTTGGTAATTGTGAAATTGCAAAAACTTCGTTTTGCTATGATTTAGGAATAATCAGGGGAATAATATAGATTATTCTCAAACAATCTAGATAAATTTTCAACTGTTAATATACATTTTGCTCGTAATTCACTTCCATCCGGGTGTGAAACCACCACGGCCGTGTCGTCCGCATATAGTGAGAGTTGCATCAACTGGGATACAGCTCAGAACATCGTTTGTAAATAGTGTAAAGAGCATCGGTGCTAAAATGCTCCCTTGGGGTGTACCCACGTTTAGCTTTATGAGTGGTGTATTCCTTATTACTATGTCGCAATGAGACATACTGCGTTCGGTTTTTTTAAAACTTTTTTAGCCATTTCAGGGCAGTGCCTCTGACGCCGTAGCAAGACAATTTCTGTAACAGTAAATTATGGTTGACAGTCAAATGCTTTAGTAATATCGCAGTATATCCCAATAGGCAGTTCTTTTTTCCCTATCGACTGAAGCACTGTATCGTAGAAGAAAAGAATTGCTAGTTATATGTATAGGTATTAATATTTGGCATTTTACAATAAATCTTTCTAGTCTATCCAAAAATCAATACTCAAACATTTTTGGGAAGACGGATGTTATAGAGACAGGTCTAAAATTGTTTGGAGTGTTACTATTCCCCTTTTTGTGAACTGGGATAATTTTTGCCAGTTTAAGGGCTTCTGGAAAAGCGCCAGTAAGAAAGGATAAATTAATTAAATATGTTAAGGACTTCACAATTACGTGAGAGATTATACGAACCAAGGAAAGTCGTCAGTCAGTCTGCCGATCTTTTGCTTTTTATTTTGTTATTGATTAACTGGATTAGTTCCTGTTCACAGAAAGGGCATAGATACATTGTTCTCTAATTAGAACTAGTGCTTAAAGTAAAGGATTGTTATTTTTATCGAGTGTATCGTGTCCAGGGAAGCGTTTCTGAAATGATTATTAAAAATATTGGCAACCTCCTCAGGATCATCAATGTACCGCGTATTTTCCATTTATAGTTTTGAGTGGTGTTGAGTGTCTTTTTGGGCCTTATTGTGGTTAATAAACGACCACGTACTTTTGCCGATATTATCTGAGCTTAGAATTTTGTGCTGTATATGTTAGTTTTACGTGTGTTGAATCTGTTGAGACAAGAACCATATGTTATTTCTTTTCTTTAAGTAGAATGTTTTTATAATGGGATATTTTTTTGCATTGCGTATAGGGATTTCAAATTAGCAGCAGAAACTCTCACCTCATTGGTCACCCACCCTTTTTTGATGTTAGTGTTGGTGACATCTTGATTCGGAAATACATGATCGTATTATTGAATGCCACATCTAACTCCTCCGCAGACCGCAGTGGTTACTGAAAGCCAATTTTCGTTAGTTAGTTTTCCAACTAACTGACCTATTTGATTTTTTAGTAAAGATCCTGGTGCGTCCTCGGGGGCCTTTAACATATGTGGTGTCCTTTATATTAGAGTTAAGTAGTATAGTAAAATGATCGGATATAATATTTTCCTCTACTACATATTTCACCGGCTCAAGACTAGTAAAGATGTGATCTAGAGTTTTATCTCCTCTGGTGGGTATTTTCACTAGACTATATACATGGTATGAAAGTAGTAAATTACGTAACATATTGAACAGTCTATCGTCTCGTGTGGGACCAACATTCAGGTCCCTTGATAATATAAAGCGGCTCTTTTGATCGAACAAACTATTTAAGACAGCATTTAGTTTAATAATAGAATTCGTTAAAATCGCCAGTGGGCGACCTGTAACATGAAAGAATAATAATGGGGATTATGTCGACATTTTCACGGCACCAAATTCCCACGCCACCGCCTTTATGGGTTGATCTGGAATAGTGTGATGCTTTTTTGAAACCAGGGAAATACACATTTCCGACGTTATCGTTGTTGCATCAGCTTTCTATAAGACACAGAAAGTTTAAATGATATTGGTTGTATTCATATGCAATGTAATTGATTTTATCATCCGACAGTGATCGACAGTTTATTGATAGAAAATCAAACGTGCTCACATTAACTAGTTCACAGTTTTGCCATGGCTTCCACCTAATTTATGCAATAGCCTAAACTTGTCTAACGTTGGTATATTTATGGAACAATTGGGGGTGGGGTGCGCCGAAGAAAATAACGACTAACTCTGCTTCCATATGGCCATTGCTCTACAGACGTCGCTTTTTCTAAATTTTGAAAATCAATTGTAACTTTAAATGAAGCGTAATGCGTTTCATAAGTTATTTTTACTTGCTCGTAGATCACTTCCGGGAATTGATTTATAAGAAAATTTTGCAGATTTTCGCTAGTTTTTTCTGTATGCAGTCTAGACACAAACAGATATGCTTTCTTCGGGGCCACCCTTATAGTAGGATTTCCATCGGTTGGACATTGCTTCTTGTCGAAGATGAAGTTTTTGTCCTGTCACCTAGGTTTTTTGGACTTTTTCACTACTGTGGATCAGGTATTTTCAGTAGAGGTTCGCTTTGGTCAGAGCCTTCTGAGGTAGCGGGATGGGCCGAAAGAGCTGGACGCTCAGTTGTCTCCTGCTGTGACTTTCCAGTGGTTGATTTCTTATTTCTCCAGGATGCAGTGGCAAGATACGACGACGATCAAATTTGAGAAAAAATCGATATTTACCTATCCTTTCTTTTTTTTCTGCTTTTATTTGAACAAATATAAAAAATAAAAATCACTTTTTCCTTGCCACTTTTTGACCTCTTTAAGACAGCGTTGAGAGATTTTCAATACAACGTTTCGTTTCGGTGAAATCATCATCAACTTATTTTTTATATGGTCCGTGCTATATTGATAATAAGAAAGGAGCGCGCGTGTAGCATTTTTTATTACGAATACAATGATGTACAGTACAAAAAATACAAAATTTGGTTGGTTTCAACCGAATGGGTGCACCGGCGCACAATATCCGAATCGTGTGAGCAATCGTGAATTGCTCCTTCCGTTGTCAGGGCCAGAATTAAAGACTGGGTGAGAGTAGCAACAAGGAACTGGATTCAGACAGTCCAGGGTCTCTTTAACAGAGCTCATTGGCAAATCTGGGTCTTCTAAGCTTCTAACACGGAATAGAAGCCAGATTAGGAAGATCGCCGGTGTACTTACGGGGCACTATCACCTGTATTACATTGGGCTTGTGGAGCTGTGGCGAGGCAGATGAAATTACCGAGTATGTGGCCTGTCACTGTAAAGCCTTGATCAGAGACAGACATTAACTCCTTTGTGACAGCGATCTGAAACTGGGGAAGGTGAAGCAACTTAGGCTAAACAGGGTCCTTTATTGAGAGGAACGGGTTCAAAACCTTCTTGCGAGAGAAAGACGGCATGCCTTTGCTGTGCCTGGTTGGGCTCCCCTGTGAATGGAATAATCGCTAATCTAGGCCATTTTTCAACAATTGATGTCTGTAAACGGTCCAAAACTGCAGAATAGTTCCGTTGATTGTATTGCCCTTCTCAAGCTACTAGCAGAATAGAGTGCTAGAGAACCCCTGATCCATAAAGTTTTGTCAAAATGCTTTAATTGAGTAAAATTCAATTATTGTTCTGCATCCATAAAGGTTTACCTTGAATGGGCTGTAACCGATAATACTAATTTCCCAAAAAATGGACCCAGAAATCAGCTAACCTTTTATTGCATAAAGCGTAATTTACAAAACTTTTCTAACTAATTATACTTTAACCTAATCAGTAACAATTCAATTTTACTTCACTAATCGGAAATACTTCTAGGTGTACAGCTATAGTTGGTTAAGGTACTGAATTTGTTTGTGTATGCAATTCTGAATCTGAACCACCTTAATACCGACTGTAATTCCCGAAATTCCAGTACATTGACTTATAATTTTCTTAGCTTGTAATTTGCTCAAATTGATACCGGGTCCCGTCTCACCGACTTCCTTTATTAATGCTAACCTCAAAGACTTTTCTATATTTTCAAACAGCACGTCGCCCGACTTCTTGAGGTAGTTGTACTCAATCCAGGCACATTTCAGAAACTCATTGAAAAAGGGGTTTATCGATGGCATTAACTCGTAACTTCCTATAACGCTAAGACGATATTGACTGAGCCCGGTTATTATTTGTAGAGGAGCGTATTTTAGAGAAAGATTGCCTATGTTATCCTTTTCTTTAATGCAGTACTCGGTTCGGGGATCCAGCGTCATTTTCTGAATCGATATTTCGGAAAATACATCCTGAAAGAAAATAAATACATTAAAAGCGGTTATGCAGACTGGTATTGATGTCGTTTTATAATTCTATAAAGGTAAAACTTACTTGTACTCCTAGCAGTAGCAAAATCAGCGCCGCGCACTTCATATTTAGTGATAAATTTGTGTTTTATGAATAATTTTCGTATTAGTATTCGAATCTAGGCTAACTTATTAGCAAGGTTAGTGAATATTGAGGTCATTACTGATAAAGTGATTTTAGTGAGTAATATCGCAGAAGTAAATATATTTACATCTGTGGTAATATCGTCAATCGTTATGAAATGCAAGGACTTACATTATGTAAAGGGAAATTCAATTAACGATACACAAATTTAAATTAAGCTTCTTAATGGGATCTAAATGCTCAATTATTTCTCAAATTCTGCAATTCACACAACCTGAGTAATGCGCATCAGCTTACAGGTGTGAGAAAGGGGCCACCAAAAGGATTTATTTTTGGAAAATATCAGCTGCGTACTAACAAAAGAATTGCCGTGAGCACATGACAAATTTGATGCTGTTTAGAACAGCGCTTTTTTTAAGCGCATTTTTGAAAAGTACGCAATTATATTCGTTATAGCTGGCTGTATAATAAAATACTGATCTGTATTACTAAAAATGCGTTTTCATCATGCATAGTAGATGTCAGGTCTTAGAACTTAGCAAAGTGTAATTATATTATACCATATATTATATTGCATTACATTACCTTACATTATATTATATTATATTATATTATATTATATTATATTATATTATATTATATTATATTATATTATATTATATTATATTATATTATATTATATTATATTATATTATATTATATATATATTTTTCTCTAGTAATCCAAATAATCTGGTCGTAAAAGGTTTGCGATATTCGGACGCACTTATCAAACACAAAGACACTCGCTGGCAGCTTCGGGAAACTTCACTTTGTCTTTATTAAACTGAACTCGAACTCGAAATTGCTAACTCAATAAGATGAAAAAAATTAACCGTGGCTGCTCTGACGTTAAAAACTTTTAACTTTAAATGAAAGGCAAACCTTTTAGAAACGTTTTACTAAGCCAACAACCGCTTTGTTTACTCACACTCGAACTCGATCGCTTTACTTCGAAACCGCCGAACTGCGTCTTTATTAAACCAACTAGAGCAAACTGTCTCAGATTTAGCGTAAACTTTAACTTAAAAGCTCTTTACCCGTCGCGGAAAAAACTAACAGCTATCAGTACCAGCCTCGTTTTTACGTTGATCAAATAAACTTTTCCACAGAATTTTTAATAAAAATCAACCGCCGGTCACAATCAGATTATAATTATAATCACAGCTTTGAAGGACCTCGTCCCGCGTCCCCACTTACACCCAATTAACGCGCACATCGTAAAACATCCACATCTTCTAACAACGCAACGATAAGAACACGTGCGTTAATTAAATTTCGTCCGATAATAAAACTCCTTATCTAAACTGTACAACAGCTTACCTGATTCGTTCAGAAACATGACCATTAGCCAATTTAAAAAAACCGTTCACAAATTCTTCCTCATCTCTCAACATTAGTACCTTGTGGAAGAGCAGGGCTAGCGTACATTCTTGGATGTCCGTTAGTATCTGAAGTTCGCCCTATTTAAATTTCGCAAACGAGGATCGTTGATGCTGTTATATTATTATTGATATTATTATTATTATTAAGCGGAATTTAATAAAATAGAGATGAGACTTACCTATTGTTGTTATTGTATTTGCTGTACATACAAATAAGTGAAGCCTGTTGTCTACGCTCTTTATTTTAGGGTCTATTGAATCAATGTGGAACAAGTGCAACAGTTTCCAAAGGTAGGTGCGCAACGATAAATATGTGATAACCCTACTTTTTAGAGCATTCTTTTATTCCTTTGTCTTTTTACTACCGAAAAGGTACTGCAATCATTTGCCGTCAATTCTTCTTCATCACGCGCTTCGTGTGCCCGAACAATTCCATCCTAGCTCTCTGGTATTGAGGCAACAATGTTGCACACAAGAAAAATTCCGATTTGTGTTCGCCAACCTTTGCCTTCAGTCTCTGAAACAATTCATTCATTTTCCCAAAATGAATTTCTATACTGCCTCCTTCCTCAAGGCGTTGATGTATAATTAGACGTATAACCCTGTTGCTTGTTTGAGTCCTTCTGGTCAAATTCTTCGAGAGCATTCCACGAATGTTTTGCCGTTGCGAATGTGTTGAATTTTGTCATCGTCAACATCGTTATGCTTGTCTTTTCATCAGCTTTATTAAATTCTTCAGTGATTGGTCCCGGAGGATGTTTTCAATGATGTGCCAAACCTCCTTTCCTCTCATTAGCAATTGAAATTTGTATTCTAAATGAAATATAGTTCCCGTTGTTAAGCTGTGCAATTTGACACAGTGATTCCGCCATTGTGTTCCTTCCTATTTCTCTGAAACTCTGTCCAAGAAACAAACTTTATGGACATTTATAGGAAATTTATGTCTCTACGACATTTTGTCCCTAAAATGCACCAAAACAAAGGTACGAGTATAACCAAAATTCTGAAGAAAGTGTCAATTTTTTTGGACAGGCGCGGAGAAAGATGAATACATTAATTAACCATCCTAGACAACATATAACAAATTTAGAACTACCGGACCTTTTGTGAAGTACCCCTCTCTATTCACTGGATTTATTTTAGACAGCTGAAGCACTAGGGCGCAGCCGTCTCCTAGCAACTTAGTGTCGTGTATACATGTTTTTTAGGCACAATGGCTAGAAGTTCTACCAGTAGCGTCGCCATTGGGTGTATTTGAATTTGCCGCTCATAAATTGTTTGCATGTTTTCGTATCCAACATTATGAAATTTAACAATTTTTTTAAATTAATAAGTTTAATTTAAATATTACATGTCACATCTTTTTGACCACTTAAGATATTAACATCCGAATTTGATTATGTATACAATTTTGAATGCACACAATTTTGGAACTCAGTGCTCTCGCTTTTGTTGTCACATTCGCGCATTCGTCCATAATACTCTTCGCTGTAAATTTGCTCATATTCATCACTAATCTTGATTTTCCAATCTTGTTCGCCAGTGCGTGTTGTAGTGCCACTTGTATGTTGTGAAGCTTGAATTCCCCTCTCCTACTTATATATTTATACTCCATCCAAGCACATTCAAGAAATGTATCATGTGATAGGTTTGTCGATGAAATCAGTTGCAAATTTGCAAAGTGGTTAAGATCGTATAGGTACAACCCGGTTATAAGTTGCAAACGGATATACTGTTTTTGTATGTTTTTAATCTTTGTATCTTCTTGGATACAGTACTCAACTCGAGGATCCAGTGAAGTTTCATGTGGAGCTGATGGAAAGCATTTCTGAAACAATTAGCGGTATAGTAACATTAATTTGCTGCTTCCATCATGATCGATAGAAGAAATGAATACTAACTAATGCGTCTATCCGGGGTTGCTTAGACATTTGAAAACCACTGGGGAGCGCATGTTACTGGTATACAAACGTATGGTCCACGCTCCACAATTTAAATGTGCATGCAGCAAATATGAAGTTATAAATGCAAATTGTACAATAGTCAATTACTATTCGATAAAAACGAATGGTTAGAAGGAAACAATTAGTATGAAGGTATTTCTTTTCTAGGATAAAAGCAGTCACGTCAATCATCGCAGGTGGCCGCTCACCAGGGACGGACCTAGACAAAAAAATCGGGGGGGCAGACATGACATTTTGCCAACTCAACTGTAAAAATTCCAACTCAAACGGAGTAGTATCTATTAAGTATTAAGTGGTATTTCTAATAATCATGTAGAAAATGTAAGATATCAGTATACGGTCTCTAATACTAATTAAAAGCATTACCAAAATACCAACCTTGTGTAGAAGAAGAAGGAAGTGACTTTCCTATTAAAGAGTCCTTTTTTATAGATTTTGCCAAAATTTCTTATTCCTTCAATAGTCGACTTATCACATTTACGATTTACCTACTTTCGCGGAATTCGCCAACTGGTAATGAAAATTACCAACTCTTGTCAAAATTGCCAACTAGTTAAGTATTGGAGGGGCAGCCTGCCCCCCCATAGGTCCGTCGCTGCCGCTCATTGCAAAACTGATCGCCTTTGAGGTGTACACAAATTACTATATTATGTTCATCTATAACTAGCCGATGCGAAGAAAAGGGCATTAATTTTGCAGTGGGTTGCTACCTGTGACTGTTTTTACATTAGACGACGTATAAAGTACGTTTATTTTATAGCATATGTTAAATTGACATTTTTAGTAGGTTTGAATGAGTAGGCCAAGCCGTTCTTTATCCGTAAGGATAGATAAAGTGATCACTTTAACCGGGTAGATAAAGTGAAACAGTGAGATGAATGACATCTGTCATTCTTATTTCAAATGCACGATATAAAATGACGTTCAGAACATGTGGCAATTCTGTTTGTATGAAAACCGTCGCGACGGCAGAACCTAAGCTTGCTATTTTTGACGTCTCTAAATTAAATTAAATTGTCAGAATCTTTACAATGATTTATATGGGGTCTGCTACAAAATAAAGTTTTGTATTATACACGACGATAAAGCGAAACTAACCATCTCATGAAAGTTCACATCTTTCACTCAATGGTTAAAATATCCCTTTATCGTCTTGTATAATAAATAACTATTACACCATGTTGTAGTGGCTTATGTTGTCATAATAGAAATGGAGTGCAATGCCTCTTTAGTTTAATTATCTGAACATCGTATAAATATCTACAGTGATACTCATGTAGAAGTAGACATAGGGATTTCCTATAAGAATTTCCTATGTCTACTTTTACAGCCAGATCTTTATTTGTTTCAAAAAGTTATTTTGGTTGCATAAAATTAGGCGTGTTTCAGGAGACTTTTTATCATGTAAAAGTAGACATAGGAAATCCCTATGTCTACTTCTACAGAATATCACTGTATATAATTATTGTATTTAAACACGATGCAGCTACTCTGCGTGCCTGAAATAGTCTCAAGGAGATCAATGAACATACCAATTTTGATTTCATATACTGACAGTTGTTGGGTGACATTTCATTCGGTCAAATCGACAATGCCAACGTGATAAATTTGTCTCACTTATTCTGGCGCACTTAAAAACCTGTGTAATGGATATGTAATTGTAAGAAATAAAATTTAACATACATGGAACAGCAATAGCAATAAACAAATAAG